ATCTGGCTGTAAAGACGCACAATAAAGTCACTCCTTTTTACCGCCATTTTGAGCCTTCGGAAACGTTCGGAACAGCTTCTCATCAAGTTCGCAATACTATTACAGGTAAGGTTGACGCATGCGCAGACGTTTTTCCGCGGTGTTGTAAAGCATGCACGCTTGAAAGAATTTATTTGCGCATGCGCTGAATTATAAATAATTAGGGTAAGATGAAGTTTATACTATTCGAATTCAATGATTCTTAGATACGAGTAATGTCCAGTACAGGTATCGATATCTGATGTCTGATGGTGAAGATGGTGTATGATGGTCGAAGTGTGTCAGATGGTTGTCAGATGGTGTATGATGGTGTAAGGTGGTTTTACAGGGAAGGGTTGTCAGATGGTGTATGATGGTGTATGTTGGTCGAAGTGTGTCAGATGGTTGTCAGATAGTTGTCAGATGGTGTGTGATGGTCGAAGGGTGTCATTCGGTGTATGATGCTTATACTACGTTGCTATATTTTATTATTACTTACACATACTGTGGCCAACTATGTATATAAAAATATAATATTATATCTCACATTACGGTTCTCATGTGGGAAACGTAATTCAAAGTATTTGACAGAATATATTTAAACACATTTGACAGACATGTTCGAGGTAATAAATAACAATATAATATGAATATATTATATCTCACATTACGGTTCTCATGTGGGAAACGTAATTCAAAGTATTTGGCTAAATATATTTAAATGCATTTGACAGACATGTTCGAGGTAATAAATAAAAATATAATATAAATATACTTCACCACCTGACAACCGATGGTTATATCTATATTGGACATATATGTTAGATACCGCTGACCATATGTGAAACAAAATCCCGCGGGTTTATCCCGGGGGTTAACAGTGCCTGTTACCAAACCCAAACAATTCCCCTTCCCCGAGGGACACTATTTTTTACAAAAGACAACGACTCCCCTCCTGTTCTCAGGGGTTCCCCCGGGGTGTCCCAGGGGTCGACCTCCGGGGAAGCCGATGATAAATGCATAAGGTTCGAGTGGAAATGCCCAACCCCCGGGATGTGCTTTACAGGAAAATGGCTGGGCGAGGGGGATGGGCACACTTGGATTTGGCTGATGCATTAAATATTATGACACCGGTTGCCTAAATAACCATAAGGGCTAATAAGACGGACAACCGTTGTTACGATTTATAACGTGTTAACCCTTAGGGTGCTGAATTAATTTGCAGAAAATCTCATTTAGTTACACTGCGGTTTTTAAATTTTTTGACGAGAATTTGAATACCAATATATAGTTATTATATTCCACTTAAAAGCCAAAAATATAAGCTTTTTGAATGTTAACACTAGAAGGCATCAAGAGGCTATCCGGGGG